AATGCTGCTATCTCCGAGACTTATAGTTCACAAAAAAACAACTCTTGCACGCCTCGCGTCCCTATGTTTAGATAATCTGTACCTAAAAACTGAGAGGTGTATATGCCTGAAACTTCTTGTATGAAGAGAACCTCTGTTCATATTAAGAATATGCGGATAAAACTGCACTGTAATCATAGGGTTTGAGATTTTGCTATGGCTTTCTGGGTGTGAAAACTTTTCGGGACCTTTGAGAAACGGGCACCTGGCCCAAGTTGTTCGAAGGCTGGATAATGCGTTATCCACTGGATAAATCGGATGGTGATTTATCCGGTGGATAGCATTATCCACCTTTCGAACAACCTGGGACTGAGGTCACTGGGTGTTGCTTTAAGTCTTCAAACAGTTCACATTTATTTTGCTCCATTTTCGTCTCCTAAATAATCATTTGGACTCTAACTTACAGGGATAAACAGATATGGATGACTGCAACAACTATCCGTTTCCAAAATTTGTTAAGAGTTTTTACTTTTAATATGAAAATTCTAATATTGCGGCATAACGAGAATATTACATATATCACAGAAAAACTAGAGAACTGATGTGTGACCTTCTACTATTGTGAGATCTCGGATGAGCTGACAATAAGCGGTCCGCTGCAGAGTCCAGCCTTGCTGTTGGCAAGATCTTCGTACGGTGGACAAACTCACGGCAATCTCACAGTTTGCTAGCTTCTTCTGAATCTGTTGGCTATTAGTCTCATCATTTTTTCGCATCTGTTGATCTATAAATGCTTTTGCATCTACAGACAACTTTGTTGGTCTTCCTGAGTGCGGTAGATTCACCATGGAGCCAGTAATTTGACTAATTTGTAGTTTCTTGATGATTTGAGAGACACTAGCGAGGGTTACTAGTAAACCTTCGTTCTTCAATGACCTGAATACTCCAGCTGGGTGGAGATCTTAAAGGAGCTCGATTCGAGTTCTCGTATAATTTGAAACTTTAGGCCTGATGACTGACCAGCGAGGTGCTATCTTCAGTGAATGAGCGAATGATTTCTGGTCTAAGAAATAACACACAGACGGTCGCTATGGCAGCAAACTGGTTCTGAGACTGGGGTCTGGTGCGAGAAAAATTGTGTGGTTCTACATGCTGTGAAAATGGTGTTTTGGCAAGTGTATAACATAGTGATTAAGTACAATTGCATTTGTTTATCGGAACCGTGGTATTTTGGGGTTTTGGATCAAGTCAACAATTTAGCATTCCTTCTGAAATAACCAGGTGAGTTTCATAGCTAACATTTCGTCAAGCTGTGATGCTATTTCAGATTAATGGCTTCTTTCGTGTGCAATGATTGGGAAGGTCATTTATATATTTCATTCAGCGAACTGTGTTTTGAAAATGCTCTTGGCCTATTGATAAACAATAGATTGAATTTTCGGGAGGAGCGAATTATCGTTCGAAAATTTGCAGTGAATCATCGTGCAAAGCGAATTATCGTTTAAAAAATCACGTGGATCAAAACAATAGGTGTCATGAAAATGCATGGAAATTTTGTGGAAATATCGTTTCAAGCGAAATTTCTTTGAAAAGTCCTGAAAAGGCAGGAATTTTGTCAAAATTTGTTTGCGTTACTTTTGCACAATACTGTATGTTCTTATTATGAGTTTGCCCGTGAACGCAAATTTATCTGATACTGTATAAACCAAAATCCACCCCTAAATCTTCTTTTAAAAGCTAGAATTAAAAGCACTCTGCTGAACCTAATTGTCTCATTTACTAACTCCCAGAGTGCATTTCACATCCACAGAGGGATAAATTGTGCACAACATAAGCGCGATGGACATAAGCGTGATGGACATAAGCACGATGAAATAAGTGAGAAATCACTATCCAAAGGAATGCAGCATGCGGGCTTAAAGCAATGACGTCACACAATAATGCGTCATAGCTTAATAAATGAGATTAGGATTTCGCATATAAACTCTATAACAAATTTGTTTACTGAATCAACAATCACATACTGAGCTGGTGCGGCCTGTGGCTAAATAATAAACATTCAAATATTTGAACACTATTTTGTAACTTGAACCAATAAATTGTGAGTCAAAAGTAAATGCAAAAACTAGTGTAAGAAAAAAACAGAACTGGGTTTGCCCAATCTACTTGCTTTGTGCAGTCTGCATGGTCTGCGTTTTAACTTGCTTGCCTCTCATGGAACCTGCAGGGTAACAGAGAGAGGGGGAAACCATGTAACAGCTGGAGAAGGGAGACAGAACCCACAACACAGTTGAAGGGCTACACCCAGATTCAATTGTTTGCAGCTGAGTAATTAACGATCCTGTAATAAAAGTGCCTTCATGGGTCATTGTTAAACATGATAGCTCAGTTGGTAGAATGCAGGAATGCAGTAATTGCCTATGATCTTGGGTTTGCCAGTTCAAATCCGATTCAAAGGTTTTTTTGCTACAGATGAACAACAATTGGATTATTATTTTCTGAAGCCCTGCCATATTTCTTGCAAATTCAGCGCAGATGCCATGCATGAAATAGTTATTGCTTGGAAATTTATGTGTAGGTTATGGAAAGAAAGTCTGAAAACTTAAGTGGATAAACATTGGCATTGATCACACTATCACATGGTGCATTATAGGCCATGATCAGAATTTTCATGCAAGTAAATCCCTCTTTCTGAACTTTTCATTCATTTGAGAAGCTGAGTGTATCCTAACTGCTAACATGAGTTCTACTCCTCTTATATCAAGAGATCCAGGGCTTGACTTGGTTTGAAAGGCTACACATGTGAAAACAAGAAGAATACATGTAGTTTGGTATTCAACATTCATTTCACTCATTTGATGAGTATGAAAGTTAAGGGAAAAAAGAATGAAGTTTTCTTAGGGGTTGACTTGTATGACCAAGTGTGAAAAGTTAGTTGCCAGTCAAAAAAAATCCACCCACATTGGCGACCCCAGTGATTGCAACGTTGACATCTGAGATCTGAATTATAATCAAAATTAATGCACTGACACAAAAATTATTTCTATGCAGCATGCCAAAAAAGTGGGTTTGCTCCACTCGTCCTGGAATGAATTTTCAAATTTACTGACCAGTCCTCTAACATACACAATCTGTTGATCCCTTCAGGCACAAAGCTCAGTCAACTGTTGTTCTACTTGTATCTTAAAAGGTTGTGCCTCAAAGTGATAATTGAATGCAGTATTGTTTCTGCTAGGAAAGAATATATGCGTGATGCCCCAAAGTTTGTGAAGATCAAAATAATACGCCCTCAAAGTTTGGGATCAAATTATTAATGATCATGACCAGTGATTCGTACACAGTTGTTTAAAATCTCAGTGGAAATTAGGTTTGCTGTATATATTAGTACTAATTTAACTAAGGATAATAAATTACCTCTACTGTCAGAATTAGTTGAATAAAACCTACTTGAGTAAAGATAAAAACCATTAGTCCAAATAAATTATACTTTTTTATGGTTATTTCCCTCCCCAGAAAATCAAGAAATCAACAAAACAAAACATAAAAATCTCTGCCACAATCTTGTTTGTGCACTTGCCTTGAGATAAATAAACAAATAAAGAAATTGCAAATAATTGTGGTTTGGTCTAAAATTAATTTTTTTCCCTTTGCTTTCTTAGGAAAGAAAGAAATGGAGGCAATGTTGATGAAAATAACAAAGATGCCTACCAGACAGAGCAGAAAATGAGAAACAAGAATTCTATAAAAGCAAGCACCAAAGATCAAAAGAGCAAGGGAAAAGGGGCTTCAAAGGGAAATAAAAAAATGGCACAAGATAAGATGAACAATGAAAAATCTACAGACTTTGAAGGTTTTGGGCCTGGCTACCAGGACAAAATGACCATTATCTTTCATGCTGTACTTGCACCTCACTTCAGTTTTGAGGGGAGCCGTGGAGACAAGATCTTTATGAGATTTGGTAGACTACAGTTGGGGAGCTTCAAGAGTAATGTTCTGGAGTTGAAGCCAGTAAGGTAACATTGCCTATCTGCCCCCTAGTGAGACCAGAATCTTTGATTTGTACCCCTTAAAGCGAGATGATGAGCATACCCTAAGGCTCGAAATTAAAAAATCCTTATGTCGCCATTTTGCAACTAAGTGGTAAAAATTAATAGCCGCCAAGTTGCCAGATTGTTAAATCAAATGGAAGAGACAGTCCACAGGCATACATGATGTACTCAATGCTCAAGGGTTTGCAATGCATTATAGGGCGATTTCAAACAGGGTAGCCATTTGGAAGTTTTCCAATGTGAGAGAGAATTGTTCACTTTAGAGTGTTTTAGAATAATCAAACATGGGTTTGTTTTGTTACAGTTGAACCTTGATTATCCAGACTCGTTGGGACTTGAGTAAATAGTCAATAATCAACAGTCTGGATAATCAAAAATATGAATATTCAGGTTTTAATCTATTTCACTTTAAAAAGTGCAAGAAGCATGAGATAAACAATGTATTCAAGACATGTATGAATGTAAATGTAAAACTTAATGTGGACTGGATGTTGGGGATGGTGGATGGCAGACAGCAGGTGGAAAAATACGGATGGAAAAATGCGGATGATAAAATATGGATGGAAAAACGCAGATGATAAAATGTGGATGGAAAAATGCAGATGACAAATGCAGATGGAAAAATGGTGAGATGGAAAAATGAGGATGAAAAATTGCGAATGACAATGTGCGGATGATAAAATCCTGATAAGGGGAAATAACTATGTTGCTCTCTTGGCGGCAGTCGATTTGCAATATTTTAGGTAGAGAGAAGTGGAATATCCATGAACAGAATTTGGTCACCATAGTAAGATAATGCTGTTGTTGCCTCTAGCTCTGATGGCTGGTGGTGAAATTAGTAAGTGATTTAGTTTTGTATTGATCTAACAAAACTGTTTAAACGCACAAGAAAAACTGTGTTCCAGAATATCTATGTTCAATTAGGAATTGATATGTACTTTAATATCTCTCAGACAGACTTCTAAGTGTGTACACATAGCGGTGTTTCATTTAATTTGACAGTGCCAATTTTCTGCAGTGGAAATTTGCTTAGGAGTAAACAGCGAAAGTTCTTTGTCCTGTAGTGAAAGAACAACAGAGTCTGATGATAAAAGGAAAGTTCAGGCCGTTATTATTTGATCAAGGCTTTTCTGGTTTTTCTTCCGGCTGGCATTAAAATGTTTTGATCTGTTTTGTGATTGAATATAAAAATTTGGACTTAATCTTCCCGGCCTACATTCTTTAAGATGGCAGAGTTTACAGTGTGTAGTTACAACTAGGACTGTCAGAAAATTTCCCCTCAAGGGTTTTATCATCCGCATTTTGCCATCTGCATTTTTCCATCCACATATTTCCATCTGCACTTTATTATCTGCAATTTTCTATCCACAGTTTGTCCATCATCAGCCATCCGCCGCCATTTGGTCCACTTTTTACAGAGACCAGTTAATGTTACTATTCCGTTATTCAAACTAAGAGCAGATGTAACGCAACCAGGTAAAAGGTAACACAACAAAATACGCAAACAACAATATGGAGTAACTGAGGGGGACACAGCCCTGTGGTAGGTTTGACGCGACTTCATGATAGGTGCACAAACTAAA